CAGGCTAAATAGACAAGGCACTTACACTTCAGCTGTTGTTTAGTTTCTGAGGGGGAGAGGGAGAGAGACAGAGAGAGAGAGAGAGAGAGAGAGAGAGAGAGAGAGAGAGACAGACAGACAGACAGACAGACAGACAGACAGACAGACAGACAGACAGACAGACAGACAGACAGACAGAGACAGACAGATCGACAAATAGACAGACAGACAGACAGAGAAATTGAGAATGAGATAGAGGCAGATAGACACGCAAAGAGTCTGAGAGAGTTATAATAATAATAATAATAATAATAATAATAATAATAATAATAATAATAATAATAATAATAATAATAATAATAATAATAATAATAATAATAGTAATAATAATAATTAATAGACTGCCTTAATTTATAATATAGCGCTATTACTAGTATAAGCTCTGAGCGCTTTACACCTATCAAATTTTCATTGAGCGATTCACACAAGAGAAAATATTTCACAAAAACAAGAAAAACCAGTCCAACCACATAAACAAGAACTTTTACGATCTTACATTAATTATATACACGAAGGCAGGCGCGGTTCGTCCATAGAGCACGGTCGTGCAGTGTCGCCATTTTTTATGTTCTATTATGCAAAGTACTCACAAAAATAAAATGAAAGAAGTCAGAAACAAACACAAGCCAAATTTTATATCAAAACAAGGTCCTCTCTGGCGCCGTAACTGCCATTTCTGTGTCTAGAGCGCCGTAAAAAATCTACTATGCCATGCCAAAGTCCACGCGCTTTAACTAAACACAATAGAATATTCAAAAGTGGTAATCTGACCTATAAATCGCTCTTCGGGATAACTCAAGCAATGACGACACTCGTAGCGAGTTTGGCTGTTCACTAATCTTATTATAATGGAGCTAAGCCCGTTTGTGAGGTCAGTACACATTTTTTTACTCATCATCAATCATCAATGCCTTTCACCCCTGGCAGGGTATAGGCCACATACAAGCTCCTTCCATTTATCTCTGTCCTGAGCCATCCTCC